GAAATATCCGAAGATTTCCGACTGTTACGAAGTTTTCCGAATGCATGTCAAAATACCGGTTTTCGATCAGCGTATCGCAATACGTATCGTTTTCATGTCTGAACCGGTAAATACCAGTAAACCGGTTATATTGAGCAGCCCTGTATAAAGCACTTACATACTTCTCTCAACATACAGTTTAAACGCACAATGTCACACATTTTCGACAATATCTTGACCTATATTTTATATATTGGGGGCATATTCTCTCACTTTAGCTTCCTATTGATGCAACAAGAAGACTTCTTATCCCTTACGACTTGTCTGAAACCGATAATTGAAATTTCGAGGCTGACAGCTTCCAAACAGGTAACATGATTGCCTTGTACATCTAAAACTGTCGCACACGGTGTTCTTAATGCAACGTTGCATTAATTCATTCGAACTTTTTAATTTGATATTGTAATTGAAATATATAATTTTGTTAGGAATAAATTATATGGTATCCCTAAAGGCTGACAGTAAGTATTATTGAGAGAAATGCATTATGTCTTTTTAGAGAAGTGTGGTGTGACATGGGTTCATCAAAGGGTGCAGATTTAGTGCTGTAATTCTGCCTAATGGGGTGTTGTGAATTGCTAACCATGTTCATGATGATTTGGATTTAGAGTGTGTCTTTGTAACTAGTTCCAGCTATTATGAATTACAATGTTGCGTACATAAAAAAGGGGTGGTCAAGTGAGTGAGTGAGTTGGGTTAATTGCTGCTTTGAAGAACATTCCAGTCATGAAATCCCAAATTGGCACAGATTGGCAGTATTCACAACTTTGTGAAAACCACAAGCACTGGTATAGTTGGCAAACCTGGAAATACAATCAGGAAGAATCAGGATTTCAACCCTCAATCATAGGATCCTGGTGTGCCAAGGGATGCAACTCTGCACAGGGAAATCATGACATCTCAGATGGCTGGCCCACCCATGACCCCGGGGCGGTGGGGTAGCCTAGTGGTTAAGGTGTTCGCTCGTCACGCCGAAGACCCGGGTTCGATTCCCTACATGGGTACAATGTGTGAAGCCCATTTCTGGTGTTCCCCGCCGTGATATTGCTGGAATATTGCTAAAAGCGGCGTAAAACCAAACTCACTCACTCACCCATGACCCCTTTGTGGATATGTGAGTGAGTGAGTATGGTTTTGCGCTGCTCTTAGCAATATTCCAGCAATATCATGTCTGGGCACACCAGAAATGAGCTTCACACATTGTACCCAATTTGGGTAATCGAACCTGGGTCTTCGGTGTGACGAGTGAAAGCTTTAACCACTAAGCTACCCCACCGACCCCCCCTTGTCAGATGAGGAAACAGGCATGTGACCTAGTGTTCTTCAGTTTATGGTCCATTACCTCCTAACAAACACACCTGAATTGGTCCTAAGTAATGTCGCAGCCTGTGATGTCACAGCCATAACCAGCAAATCTAATGAATACATTTATCTCTTGACCATGCCTTGTTTGCCTAATTACTGCTGTAAGAAAGAGGTCTGCAGCGAGGAGGAACAAGTAGTATTTGAAATCCATATGCACTTTCTTCCAAAGTCCAACCTAAATCTAGCACATGACCTCAGCTGCATGGAGATGTGGACTGTGAAGTATGCAAGAATTTGGGAGAGGTAGGAGTGCTGATCCATGTGCCTCTCTCTCCCCCCCCCCCCCTCTCCCCATGTGTCACACTCCTCTCCATGTGTCTCCCTCCCTTCCCCATGTGTCTCCCTCCCCTCTCCATGTGTCACCCCCATCTCTCCATGTGTCACCCCCATCCTCTCCATGTGTCACCCCATCCCCCCACCCTCTCCTTGTGTCACCACCACCCTCTCATGTGTCATCCCACCCTCTCCATGTGTCACCACCACCCTCTCCATGTGTCACCCCCACCCTCTCCTGTCACACATCCTCTCCATCTCTCCTTGTGTCACCGCCACCCTCTCATGTGTCATCCCACCCTCTCCATGTGTCACCACCACCCTCTCCATGTGTCACCACCACCCTCTCCTCCACGTGTCACACCCACACCCTCTCCATGTCACACCCTCCACACCCATCCTCTCAATGTGTCACCCCACCCTCTCTATGTGTCACACCCATCCTCTCCATGTGTCACACCCATCCTCTCCATGTGTCACACCCATCCTCTCCATGTGTCACAGCCCTCTACATGTGTCACAGCCCTCTTCATGTGTCACACCCATCCTTTCCATGTGTCATCCCCATCCTCTCCATGCGTCACACCCATCCTCTCAATTTGTCAGACCCATCCTCTCCTTGTGTCACCTCCACCATCTCCATGTGTCACCCTCACCCTCTCCATGTGTCACCCCCATCCTCTCCATGTGTCGTCCCCACCCTCTCCATGTGTCACACCCCTCTCCATGTGTCACACCCATCCTATCCATGTGTCACAGCCCTCTACATGTGTCACACCCCTCTCCATGTGTCACACCCATCATATTAGTCACGATATGGCTGAAATATTGACGATGTGACGCTAAATATTAACTCACTCACTCACACCCCTCCTCTCCATGTGTCTCACCCCTCCTCTCCATGTGTCACACCCCTCTCCATGTGTCACACCCATCCTCTCCATGTGTCATACCCCTCTCCATGTGTCACACCCCTCTCCATGTGTCACACCCCTCTTCATGTGTCACACCCATCCTTTCCTTTTGTCACACCCATCCTCTCCATGTGTCATCCCCACTCTCTCCATGTGTCACACCCCTCTCCATGTGTCACACCCCTCTTCACGTGTCACCAATCATCTCCATGTGTCACACCCCTCTCCATGTGTCACCTCCACCATCTCCATGTGTCACCCCCACCCTCTCCATGTGTCACACCCATCCTCTCAATTTGTCAGACCCATCCTCTCTTTGTGTTACCTCCACCATCTCCATGTGTCACCCTCTCCATGTGTCACACCTATCCTCTCCATGTGTCGTCCCCACCCTCTCCATGTGTCACACCCCTCTCCATGTGTCACACCCATCATATTCGTCACGATATGGCTGAAATATTGCCGATGTGATGTTAAATATTAACTCACTCACTCACACCCATGCTCTCCTTTTGTCACACCCCTCCTCTCCATGTGTCAAATCCATCTCCATGTGTCACACCATCATCTCTATGTGTCACACCCATCCTCACCATGTGTCACACCCCTCTCCATGTGTCACATCCATCATCTCCATGTGTCACACCCATCATCCCCATGCATCCAGTCCATGTATCCCAAATGCCTGTCAGCTTCTAAGGAACAGACACATTAATAACCCAACAATGCCACCCCATGAGTAAAATGAGTGAGTGAGTGAGTGAGTTAGTATGGTTTTACGCCGCTTTTAGCAATATTCCAGCAAAATCCCGGCAGGGGACACCAGAAATGGGCTTCACACATTTTACTCATGTGGGGAATCGAACCCGGGTCTTCGGCGTGACGAGCAAACGCTTTAACCACTAGGCTACCCCACCGCCCTGAGTAAAATGAGACACATTTGTCTGCCGTAAGATGTATCTTTAACACGCTATTAATCTGCCTCTTACATTTATTAAATGACAAAATTTCAAAACTGGTCCACCATCAGGTGAATTAGGTTTTTCTGAAACTAAATTATTCTAGAAAACAAAAAGAGGATGATTTCCAACACCAAAATTGGCTTCTAAAATCTCTACTTAATATTAACCAGAAGCACAAATGACTGGAAATGTCCTGATCACTACAAACATATGCATTAAGTACTTGTTTAAACATGCTTTGCTCATCGTATGTGTGTTGACATGTATATAATACAAGCACTGAAGCCATAGTAAATTAACTACAAGTATTTGGGTTTCATATCTGCCTTCCATGCTACCAAACCACTACCTCTCATCATTCTATTTACTAATTTATTTATTTATTTGTTGTTTAATGCCGCACTCAGCAATTACACAGCTATTTGACATCAGTTTGTATATAATTGAGTCTGGACTAGACAATCCAGTGACTGACATCATGAGCATCTGGATGACGATGACATGTGTCAACCAAGTCAGCGAGCCTGACCACCTGATCCCGTTAGTCGCCTCTTATGACAAGCATGGGTTGCTGAAGATCAATTCTTATCAACATCTTCATGGTTATTTCTATTTATGAAATATATTGACATAAACATTGTCCTTCGAAACATTCATGCATCATGTGTCAGTTAATGGACACAGATGTTTCTTTGAAAAATTGGGATGAACTGCTAATATTTTACTTCATTTATTTTCAGTTAAAGGCATTTTGTTGAAGGCCAAAACAGAACAATGCTTCCATTTTCAGAATTAAAATATGTGTCTTTTTAGAAAATTGTACTAATCTGAAAATGAATAAAATCTTACTCCAAATCAATGAAGGTTTTAATTTATAGAATATAAATATCTCTCTGTTTTTTAAAAATTGTACTAAATAAAAAACAAACAAACCCTGAATAAATAAATAAAAACAATTCAATAAATCAATAATAAACTCAGGACATAATTGTTGGGATTAACACATTTAACATCTTTGTACAGTATTAAAATAACATTATAGTGTGCCAGACTAAATTTGGGACAGAAACCAAAAGTGATGTAAGTCTCACTTAAACTATCATTAAAGAACTTAGATTTAAACATAAATGTGTTTTCAAATCAACAAAAGTCAACAAAGAAAATGATATAATTGGATGAAATGACAGATATTGATTAAATAATCTTCTATCCTAGTTCTTCTTCCCTCAAGCAGCCATATCATACATATCTCCAACCCTACCTCGGACACACCACTTCTCCCCCAATCTGTGCTTGTCCTTGCACACTGAGGCTTAGGACAGCCCAGAGCAGTGTAATATACCCAACTGCTTAAGCCTAGCAAGGAGTAAGGCCAATTATAAACATACAATCAGTCAGTGAGTGAGACCAGTCAGGGACTGCGAGAGGCAGAGCTAGAGTGCACTTCAGTCCTCCAGCCTCCGAGTACTGGTCAGTCAACGGGGAGTGAGTGTGAGAGACTGTCACCTGATCGTATGTTGAGAGATGATGACAGTGAGGGGCAACTAGTGGGGATACAGTCCCCTCTCTGCTGGAGGTGAAGCACAGACTGGGAAAGAGTCATTTCATTTTCAATCTGTGAAGAAGTAAAACTTTAATGAACTGTGTCTAGGTGTGACTTTGATGACAAAAAAATGGAATGCTTTGTCAACACTCCTGAAGTTTTAAGAGGAATGTGTTAAATGGACGTTGCAGTTGAAGAAATTTGACAATGATGTGAGAACTTGTGGTGGTCTTCATTCCAGGTAGGTCCTTTTATATCAGTCTACTTTAAAGTGGTAAAGAAACGTGATAATTAAGTATTACCTGTAAAGTTGACTCTTAAAGTGACTAAGAGATAACACTTACAGACAATACTGAAATGTGCACTTAAAAATAACATTCAAATTTTACACTTTCAAAGGTAACACTGAAATGATATACTGAAGGACAACATCAAAACATGGCATTCAAAAATAACTCAGCACTTAGATAAGCCACTGAAAATGAACATACTAATAGATAAAATTTTAACATAACTCTTTAAACATGGCACTTAAACATGACTCTTTAAAATGGCACTTAAACATGACTCTTTAAGATTGTACTTAAACACAACTCTTTAAGATTGTACTTAAACATGACTCTTTAAGATTGTACTTAAACATGACTCTTTAAGATGACACTTAAACATGACACTTTAAGGTGACTCTTAAGCAAGGCACTTAACCAAATTCAGTGTTGTTGTGTTTAGGTAAAACACAGTTGTTACATTCCAGAAACATTATCAACATGTGTCTCTCCTCTGAACAGTGTAGGGAAATGACAACCTTGTCACAACAGTGAATCTCAACTGATTAAATGACATCCATGTACAAAAAGACTTCCCCAAAAGTTTTCAAATAAATAATTATGGACTTTTAAAGAATTAAGACCATATTTGGTGATAGATGCTACTGACATTGCAATATTGCATGTCTATGACAGTGGTGTCTTGTGTGAGTGAGGTACCAGTCCTTTCATTGTATCACTTGTAGTATTATAGAAAGAGACGAATGTGTAACAACGTATCATAATTGCTAAACTGATGCTCATGGTGTCGATCATTGGATAGTCTGTTCCATATTCGATGACTGACTGATTTCTACATATAGCTGGACAATTGCTGAATGTAGTACCGCTGCTACAAAATGGACATAATTATTATAATTAATTTCATAAAAACATTATCATTATTAAAAAAAATTGTGTTATGCGAGCCTAATTTTCATTTATAAAATTATATGATAATTACAGTATTGAAACACACATGGGTTACAATGACTTCATCAAATAATGTCATTCTTAAAGTAATGCTTAACACATGATTCTTTCTACAAAATTGCTGCTCTCTGTGAAGATGTTCAAGCCTCTGGACCATGAAAACTGATCCAATTATTTATGCAACAAGAAATCTAATAAAAGCAACAATAGAGAACTAGTCATTTGGAAATGCTGTGAGGGTATTATGTGGTGGGGAGCAAACCACAGACCTGCTCTCTGGGAAGACGCTCTAGCCATTGGACCATGAAGGTGATCCAATTACTGCTGCAATATGAAACCTAATAGAGGCGACAATGGAAAACTGGTCATATGGAAATTCTGTGAAGGTATTTCATGGTGTGAAGGTGGCGGGGATCAAACCACAGACCCTCCGCTCTCTGGGAATTAAGAAAATACAGTTCGCTCTACCACCATGTATAGTGTAATAGCTTGCGTCCGAGTTGTTCTTTAACGTTATAATAGTTCAGGGTGAAAGTGTGCTTTATTACACTATACATGGTGGTAGAGCGAACCGTATTTCTTTTCTAAGATGCCAAATTTAATACTTTCTAAGGATAATTACGATTAATTCAAGGCAGAAAACAAATGACGGTGTCGGTGACCTAAATTAAGAATCCTCTCACAGGGCTAACTGGCGCGCTGTTCTATTGATGTGTCTGCCCCCCTACGTTAAGACGAACGTTACCAGAAAAAAAACAATTGATAACAGTTTGATGACGGTTTACATTCGGATTAAATATCTTCTCTGAATCATTTTATCATTATATCTGTCATTAACGTAAACCATATGGGGCAATATGAACGTCGCATTTCTACTACCAACTTAAGTTTAGATCACTACATCCAGATGAAGATGAGTAGTCAAGCGACATTCCACGATTGCATTGTGGGAATGTAAACATTGCGAACGTTACCGTGTCGCTGAAAACTTGTGAGTCGAATTGACACATTTTAACTGTCGTAAAACATAAACTTAATGTTTCCACCAGTGATGTTAGCTGCGTAAAGCAACTGTAAACCAAGAAAGGGTATGCAACGGAGTAGTTTACTGTAGGAGGCCGTACGAGGCGATGACAACTGACATGCATCGTGACGTCGCTTACATTGTGACGAAATGTAAAATGGTTCGATAACGAGGGGGCACACTAGAATGGTGCAGTGACGGGATAATGTCATTCAATTGTTACGTCATCAACAAAACTATACCTTTATTGTCTGATAATGTATGTTTTTTTCGATTGTTCTAACCGCTAGGCATCTTAGAACACATGATATCCACTGGACCATGAAAGTGATCCAATCAATTGTGGAACATGAAATCTAATAGAGGTGACAATCCGGGAGAACTGGTAATATGGAAATGTTGTGAGGGGATTACGTGGTGTGGCGATGACCTCACTAATGTTCAATGCCTCGCTGAAGGTCATTCTAATCTAGACTTGACCTTCTAGTGTCTCGATTAACTGCATTATGCTGTTGTCTCTTACATATTCACATGAATTCACCCCTAAAACAAAACCATACATTTCCACAAGGGTTTGAAATCAAGATCATAATTTATTCTTTATAGGATATTTCTATAGCGCACATATCCAGGCAACTAGTGCATGCTCAGGCGCTGTTTTTTTCCCCCCTCAATCATTGGATGTCAATCTCAACGACACATCGTAATATCTCAACTCACTGGTATGAAACTCTTGCAGCCACTAGGCGCACCGAGTTATTGTGGCTTTCTCATCCTAACAAGGTACCCATTCACAGCTGGGTGGACAGGGACACATAGTTACAGTACTTTGTCCAAGTTCATTGCACGTTGCTGTACCCTCACACTGAAAGAGTCTGTACACAAAGTTGACTCCAAGGTTTTTACACACGGTCACAGGTGGGCTCGATCCCAACACCTAAACCTTCCCTTCTGCCCAGAATTTTCTACAGTGCTAGAGCCTTAAATGAAGCAAGTCTAGATTTCCTGTTCAGGGGTAGCCTGTCTCACAGTCACTGAACCACATTACTTTCCCTTGTGCCCAGCCCTTTCTGCAATGCTAAGGTCCTAAATGGAACAAGTCTAGATTTCCTCAGGTTCTGAACCTCCCATTCCACTGGGACTCCTTTTCAGTTTATAAAATCAATTATTTGTTTCTGTGAAATATATATAAATATTCAGAGACTAAGTATTAGTCATGATAAACACGGACATATTTTTGTTGTGTTGTGTTGTGTTGTGAGGTGAGGTGAGGTGAGGGTGAGGTGAGGTGAGGTGAGGTGGGGTGGGGTGTGGGTGGGGTTGGGTTGGGTGTGGTTGGGGTGAGGTGAGGTGAGGTGGGGTGGGGTTGGGTTGGGGTGAGGTGAGGTGAGGTGAGGTGAGGTGAGGTGAGGTGAGGTGAGGTGAGGTGAAGTGAGTAGTATAGGCTACACTATAATTCCTGGGACACATTTGTTGTCTGAGATGAGTGACATGTTGTGCACTACTCTTGACTTGCAAACGAATAAACGCTGATGTGATGACCTGAAATCTGACACTAGTAGTGAGTGAGTGAGTGAGGGGAGGTGAAATTGGGTTTAACGTCGTGCTTGAGAATCTTTTGCTCATATGACGATGTGCATGCGTGTATGTGTATGTGCGGCTGCTTGTACTAGCCTAGACTGAAGCTGGTTTTATAGTGCTAGCCCACTGAGATACCATGCCGCAATGAAACATGAATACCCCACTCAGACACATTATACTGACTCCGAGCCGACCAGTCCTTGTTGTACCCATTAATACCGAGCGCCAGGCAGGGACCAACAAGTACCATATTTTGATGTCTTTTGGTATGACGCGGTCGGTGAGTGAGTGAGTGAGTGTGTATGGTTTTACGCCACTTTTAGCAATATTCCAGCAATATCACGGCGGGGGACACCAGAAATGGGCTTCACACATTGTACCCATGAGGGGAATCGAACCTGGATCTTCAGCGTGATGAGCGAACGTTTTAACCACTAGGCTACCCCACTGCCCCCCTGTAACACCAGTGCCTCATTGTGATTTACACATGTGAAACCAAACTTAAGTGATTTTGAGACAAAAAACTGACATTCTGAACATTTAGAATATTTCTGATGTCTTTAATTAATGAGTGAAACCAGACCTTACATGACATTGTGAGCAATGCTCCATACTGAAACACAAACAGACACGCAAACAACCACAGCCCTGAGCCCAGACAAAACTTCGTCTCTGAAAACATACCAGTTTGACAGATTGATGGTTTGTTGTTTAACACCATACTTGGCAATATTCCAGCTACATGGTGGTGGTCTGAAAATAACCGAATCTGGACCAGACAATCTAATGATCAACAGCATGAGCATCGATCTACCCAAGTCAGTGAACCTGACCTCCCAATCCCGTTAGTTTTATTCTAACCCAGATCTTCATGGGTCAAATTTGATAGCAACAATATTACCATCTACATAAAAAATCTACATCTGCTCCATTCTGGACTTTTGCATTACAGAAAGGGCCGGGACGCTAATATAATGGTCCCAGGATTGTGTTTGGGGGTTTGTTTGGTGTTAAATGCCACACTCAACAAAAGTCAGTGACTTTGAGACTGACTACCATGAGCAAGACCAAGAGATATATTTAGTCACTTGAGATCAGTTCAAACACAGAATCTTTATGGCGACCATAACAATATAAGGACGACTTTCTAAGCCTGGGCCTAGATTTTCAAAGCTCGCTTAGTGCTAAGATAGTCGTAAGTTAATGTATGGCACTTACAATTATCTTAGCGCTAAGAGAGCTTCAAAATCTAGGCCCTGGTCACTAATCAATAAACTGTCACCTTTCTAATCATTCCTGACTTTTTCACTTACTTAGTGCTTACAACATGTCCAAATTACGGGGAAAAGCAATTGAGATACAAATTACTGAAAATTGTATTCATTCAACCCACAGATACAACTAGCTAACTGGAACTTCTATGAATGTTATTGTCAGGTTATTCCAAACCAAATTTGGTAATGCTTAACAATCTGGTTCAAGAATCTGTTTGCAATACAATTGGTAGTATGACCACAGTGCATAACAAGTGCTAAAATGACAAAGGTGTTACTTACTCACTTGAAATTGTTTTGAATCACATACATAGTAAACTGGAGTTGGCAGGATTAGCTGTCATGGAAAAGGTTTAAGTTTCTGTCCAATTATGTTTGTTAACAACTGTTAAAATCAACAGCACTACCGAAATGACAGAACTGGCAACTGAACAATAGGAGCAGAATGACACAACTGCTACGACAGAACCAGAATGACACAACCTGAAAGCAAGAACCAGAATGACACAACCTGGCAGCAAAAACCAGAATGACACAACCAGACCCAAAATGAGTGAGTGAGTGAGTGAATATGGTTTTACGCCGCTTTTAGCAATATTCCAGCAATATCACGGCGGGAGACCCAAAATGACACAACCTGACAGCAGGAACCAGAATGACATAACCTGACCCAGAATGACACAACCTGACAGCAAGAACCAGAATGACACAACCTGACAGCAAGAACCAGAATGACACAACCAGACCCAGAATGACACAACTGCTATGACAGAACCAGGCGTGTGAGAATGATACAACTGCTACGACTGAGCAGTACAACATACCACAGAGTGTACCATTTCCACATAAGGTTATGTTTTGTTCTGAATGACAGAACTTTATGTTCTAAATGTGAAGATAATTAACAGCCATACAACTCCAGCCTTCAGTAAGAGCTTATCTAAAAACACCATGAGATTCACAACAAAATACAACCTCAGTCATTTGAGGGCTGGTCATAAAACGTATATTCTTCACAATCACCAAAAATAACAAAATACCTTAGTGTTTTGAGGGCTGATCATAACATATATTCTTCACAATCACCAAAAGTAACAAAATACCTTAGTGTTTTGAGGGCTGATTATAACACATATATTCTTCACAATCACCAAAAATAACAAAATACCTTAGTGTTTTGAGGGCTGATCATAACATATATTCTTCACAATCACCAAAAGTAACAAAATACCTTAGTGTTTTGAGGGCTGATTATAACACATATGTTCTTCACAATCACCAAAAATAACAAAATACCTTAGTGTTTTGAGGGCTGATCATAACATATATTCTTCACAATCACCAAAAGTAACAAAATACCTTAGTGTTTTGAGGGCTGATTATAACACATATATTCTTCACAATCACCAAAAATAACAAAATACCTTAGTGTTTTGAGGGCTGATCATAACATATATTCTCCACAATCACCAAAAATAACAAAATCTGAAATCAAACATTTTTAACTGTCCATTGCAAAGCCACACATAGTTGCATTCTAACTAGCAGACAAATCACCGCATCTAAACACAAATATGGTTATGTGATACAAACACAGCATAACTGGCTGGAAAAGAAGCTAATGAGGGCTGTTATCCAGTACTGACCGCTGTAGATTGAGAGTACTCTTTACTTCAAGACAAACAAATCACTTTGTTAATATACGTCACTGACAGCTCTGATTGGGCCTTGTTTGATGGATGATAATCTTTATCAATAAACTCTGATGGTGATGATAACCAGACGTTCCTGTCAGACAATATGGCTCTTTTACCAAAGAAGGCTGTCATTGACTGATTGACGTATCAGGTTGTACACTACAAATTACTCTGCATGCAATCTGTTGATGATTTGAAGGTTTTAAATTTAGGATCTCAACATGATGGAGGCTGACTCATGAATACCTCTCTCAAACATCTTGGGTATGTGGGTGGGTGGGTGGGTATATGGGTGCGTGCTTGATTTATGAGTGAGTGAAAGGGTGGGTGAGTGAGTGAGTGAGTGAGTGAGTGAGTGAGTGAGTGAGTGAGTGAATGAATGGGTGGGTGGGTGAGCCAGCCAGACAGGTGTTATTCCAAATTAACACCATCATCACATCAAACATAAATTTAACAATTTCAAATATATAAAGTTACACAGCTTACAGAAGTAATTTCCTCAGCACAAAAATATTCCACCCAATAATCCAGCCCAAATATTTACATGGTCAAAAGGTTAACACACAACCCTGTTTTCTAAATGGAACCAGATGGCCACTAGATAAATAATCACTAGAAAGCCTTGTTGTATTTTACTGGCCAGCTGAACCATAGACGTAGGTTTTATTAGTAAGTCAAGGTAATTCACATCAAAGTCTGACCATGCTGGAGGAAAAATGAACAGGATGGTGAACATGTCGATCAAGCAATGAGATGCAAATTTTCGTCGGTTGAAGTATCCATATATGCAGGGCGCAATTTCATTTTTATTCAATACATGCACCGAGGGCAACCTGGTTTATAGGTCTGGCTGCACCATCAAAATTTTGGTTGCACCATAAAGTAATATCACTGGTTTTAAAATGTAACATAAATACTTGTTTAGCAATTCCCAAACCAAGTACTCAGTATCAGATACATTCAACCCATGATGATAAATGATGAATGATTCTGTTTCAGTTTTGCATTACCTTCATTTATAAATCTCAATTATGATTACTGCTACGTAACTGATTTATGAGTACAAAATATTTATGCTTGTAACAAGCCATGCGGAGAGAAACATATTACTTCCAGTCACTTACTTCCCAACTAAAACACATGATGACAGCTTAAGACGTTGGAGGATTTATTGTTACCTTCACCAGGTGCAACCTGTTACTGAAGGTAACCTGCACCAGCCATTTTTAAAATCATCAGTGCAGGTTGTAAATAGTGAAATCGCACCGATATGGTGTATAGTTTATTACTTTTAAATACCTACAATTATACATCATTATAGGTCATCCAGCATCAAAGGTGCAACATTTTCCTGAGCAGAGTTGTGTCCCTTAATCTATGATCTGACTGACTGACTGACTGACTGACTGACTGACTGACTGACTGTCTGACTGTCTGACTGACTGACTGTCTGACTGTCTGACTGACTGACTGACTGTCTGAGTTTGGTTTTATGCCGCAACATCATGGCGGGGAACACCAGAAATGGGCTTCACTGATCTGTCTGAATCGCAGTTTGTAGGACTGCACGGTATTAGCAGTATACTGGTAATTCGCAACACGCTTTTCAAACGATACGTATTGCAAAATGTTTTCTGAGAACCGGTATATTGGGTAAAAAACATATATGAAGTTTTTGATTATCTTTATGGTTTAAATTAAAATCTACACATACTTTCATTCACAACAAATGTTCTCCTTCTTTATTCAATCACAAAACGGCATACTGCAATTCTATAAATTGTATATAAAAGAAAATAGCATCCGTGACTGTGTAACCTAATTTTGATATTGCTGTTATCAGAACCAAAACATATATGTTTAGGGACTTATAAAGTTCCCAGTATATCGCAATATATTGCAATACGGGTACCTGAATCACAATATATTGCAATACAATTTATTTGCCAATACACAGTCCTAGCAGGTTGCCTTGGTTTATCGTTTTGTTAGCACCATAGGTCGTCAAGCAACGAAGGTGCAACATTTGTGTCACTTATGTGTGCCAGAAACCAATGATCTGTCTGAATTGGAGTTTGCCCTGACTGTTTATAGGTTTCTCAACACCATATCCGTGCTAATGGGTTTCACTAAGGTCTGCGACTAGCATCACTTTCGACTGTCCTCCCATATCAAGCTGTGATATAGCTGGAATACTGTTAAAAACAAAACCTAGTTGGGGACTGAAGTCGTAAGTGACCCGGATGTTGGTGCCTTTTTCGTGCTACCCATGAGCCAGACTTGTAAGCATCATCTGTCTTGTCAAAGCACATGCAGAGGCAGCCAGGAATACAATTAGCAACAACATCTTGAAATTAATTTTGACTTTTTCATTCTACTCCATCAATGACAGTGCGTGGCAACCTGGTGATGGAGTAATGGGAGGCATGTCTTCCCACTACACCATACAGCATGGGTCTTATGTCATGATCTTCTTCTTGGGAACCTACTTCTATGAGTGGGTCTCACTCCTTACTGGACCCATGAAGATCTGGGTTAAAATTGGTCTTCAGTAACCCGTGCTTGTCAAAAGAGGCGGCTTAAAAGGGATATTGCTGAGTGCAGCGAACAACAACCAACCAACCAACCAACCCACCAACTCCTTACTGATCTGGCTAGCTATTCTCGAAAACGTTCGTAGCCCTACGAACTTCTTAAGCCCATTCTTAACACATTGGCTACGATCAAAGATAAGAATTCTTAGGGCTACGAACGTTTCGAGAATAAGGGCCCAGATACCAAAATTCATTACTTTATTAAAAACCCAGAACCACAAGGTTGTGAAATTATGAAGAAATAATGAAATAAAAAACAACTCTATATGAATTCTGTGAGCAGTGTTTAAAGGCATCACTGGTTCTGGTCCTCCAAAATATAATACCTTAAATTTGAAAATAGGATTTAAATTTTCAAACTGATTCTGTTCGAAGGAATAGAAAACAGTGCTTAATTTGGGCATCTTATTCAAAGACAAATATTTGGAGATTATTTTCACTATGAAATCAATTCTTGATATTGTAAGCAAAAACAATTGCCCCCCCCCCCCCTCCTCAATGCAAACAAGCACACACTGTCTCTCTGACTGAAACTTTATTTTTAAGGAATATTTTAGATAGAAATAAGAAAAATCTGTTTACACTGAAAAGGAGGCCCAGTAAGATAGGAGTTTCAGCATCTGATGAAAACCTGGACTTGTTTCATTTAGGGTTTTTGCATTACAATAATGGCTGAGAGTTGGGAGCGAGTGAGTATGGTTTTACGTTGCTGTTAGCAATATTCCAGCAATATCACAGCAGGGACACCAGAAATGGGCTTCACACTTTGTACCCATGTGGGGAATCGAACCTGGGTCTTTGCCATGATGAGCGAACGATTGAACCGCTACTGCACTGCCCTAAACTGAAAAGGAGGCCCAGGAAGATAGGAGTTTCAGAATCTGACGAAAACCTTGACTTGTTTCAATTAGGGCTTTGGCATAACAATAACGGCTGAGAATAAAGAAAAATATTAAGTTTCAAGGACAAACTCTCTCTCATTCTTTCTCTCGGTGTCTCTCACTAATCATCTGTTCCTCGTACCACGTCTAATGACGACCCATGCTAACAAACACCTATTATACATGCCTTTATAGGAAATATTAACCACCTAATACCTGTTTTTCCCAGTGACTCCTGATAACATAGAGCTTGTTAGAAACACTACCTACGACTCGGCGATCAAACTGCTCATTAGTACTGAAAGCAGCTGTGTTACTCTAACATAATTATAGCGGTAATTGAGTCTCTGCCGGCCAGGTATTGATGACATCATTTTCCTCATTGACGACTGACATTTCCCCAGGTAATTGTAAAGTGTCAAAATGCTGATCAACCTCCGCCATCGGGATCAATTTCTTGCCATGTCTCTGATCGTTCAGCAATAATCAATATCTACTGGTCCTTATGATTAATAAATGCCTACAGTTTGGGCAAATATTTACGGGGCATAGAATGAACTAATCCATACATGTGAACTGTTTGTTACGATTAAACACACAATAAACCACTACACACAGCGCCTTCGGTCAATGACATGACAAATATTTTTAATTTGTTTTACTATTGGCAGCTTGAAACAACGGCAAATCGAAGAAATAATAATAGGAGGAAAATCAATTTAAAGGAATGATAAAAATATCTGGGGCTGCTGCTCCTTCACAATTAGGTGCTATTCCGTGAATGAGAACGCAGTGTTATCTGCTATGGTTCTCACGACACTGTCAAACTGTTTACAAACTGTTGATTCTGAGAGGTTTCTTTTTTCAGATTCAATCTGCTTGAAGGGGCAGAATAGCAGTGCTTTTTTTGACATTTGGGGTGGTGGGCTAGACTAATGGTAAAGTGTTCGTTCATGATGTGACACACCGAAAACCCAGGTGAATCGATTCCCAAAAAGGTACAATGTGTGAAGCCAATTTCTGGTTTTCCCCACCGTGATATTGCTGGAATATTGCTAAAAGCGGCGTAAAACCATACTCAGTCAGTCAGTCAGTCAATCTTTGGACATTTCATTCAAAGACAAACATTTTGAGATTATTTTTCACCATGAAAACAATTTTTTATATTACAAAAACTTGCAACATCTCCATCCCCCCAAAAACTGATGATTGTAAGAGCTCTGTTCTGCTGGCAATGAAAACCCTGATTCACGTTTAGGATGATTCTCCCGAACATTTTCTGCCAACATCTGTTGGTGTTAAGTTAAATGCATTACAATTTTCATATGGATAACAACTATATCATTTCTCATGACATTTGACGGGTTTGAAGGACTTTCGTTCCTACATCAGGTGAACACTGAGGTCTATATATTCAGTTTATAAACATGCAGACATGTTTACACGTTGTTGGATTAATGAAGAAACATTAGTGCATGTGAAATGAATCAAATACAGTGAATGTGTAGTGATTAGGGTAGTAATGAAGCCCCTGTGAGGGGAATACGATACATGTCGTGAATATCGTGTAATTACAAACACGATTCTTTGTGACAAATACAACATGTCAGAAGGGAATGCATTATTCATGTATTCAGTGAAATATTAACAAAACACATTACCTGACGAGTTGATAACGTTCATTCATCATGACAAGGACTATGTTACTGTGAAATTAAATATCCAAGGGCATTGACCACTATCCTGAGAGAGAGAGAGAGAGAGAGAGAGAGAGAGAGAGAGAGAGAGAGAGAGAGAGAGAGAGAGAGAGAGAGAGAGAGAGAGAGAGAGAGAGAGAGAGAGAGAGAGAGAGAGAGAGAGAGAGAGAGAGAGAGAGAGAGAGAGAGTAAGTGAGTATTGTTTACGTCCGCTTCAGCAATTTTTCAGCTATTTGTGGCAAAATAAGTATTGATGATTCCTCCAACTTAAGTGAGTTTAGATTGACGCCGCTTTTAGCAATATTCCAGCAATACCACAGAGGGGGACACCAGAAATGGGCAGAAATATCTATAGTAACTATGAGTAAGTGAGTGAGTTTAGTTTGACGCCGCTTTTAGCAATATTCCAGCAATATCACGGCGGGGGACACCAGAAATGGGCTTCACACATTGTACCCATTTTGGGAATCGAATCAAGGGGTTCACTGTGACGAGCAAACATCTAACCAATTGTTAGATTGCTAATTGTATCAATCGATGCTCATACTGTTACTCACTAGATTGTCTGGCCCAGACTAGATTATTTACTGGACCCGTGAAGATCCGGGTTAGAACTGGTCTTCAGTAACCCATGCTTTTCGTAAAAGATGACTAACGGGATCGGGTGGTATGACGTCATCGTATCCCAGTTGTGTAGACGAATGCTCATGCTGTTGATCACTGGATTGTCTGGTGCAGACACGATTATTTACAGACTGCCGCCATCTTGCTGGAATATTGCTGAATGTGACGTTAATCAACAACCCAACAAACCCAAACCAATGTTTTTTGACATTTCTCAAGCATAAAAGATATAAGTTCAGTGTTCTTAGCACATGCAGTTACAAAATTAATTAAGACCAAATTGTTATTTTTTGTTTTGAAAAGCAACTTACCCTGAAGATTTGTGAAAGTGAAAAATAATGTTTTTCCTGAAGTTGGTGTTTCTAAATATGTGTAAGTCCCAAAATGCTCTAAGTCTATTTAAACTTGCCAGGATTTTTAAACGTAGCATTTTTGTCATTTTAATTTTGGCTAACATTTCTTA